CTGACGTACCAGGGAGCTTTGGTAATAGTCCTGAAAGTTTTAGATTGAAAAGTCTGTAATTTACGTATGTGAGTCTTTTTGGCTGTCCCATATATCTGTAAAGCGTAGGTCCAAATAGGCTTGAGTAGGTAAGTATATGTATTCAATTTCTGTCTAAGTTTTAATTTCGAATTTCTTGCAAGGAGTGAGTACAATAGGCGTAGTCTTAGGTTTAAAGTTTTTGTTTTGTTTTTGATATGTTGGCCCCATGTCATTCTTCTGTCAAAGGTCAGTCCAAGATATTGAACTTTGTCTGTCTGAGGAATTTGGATATTGTCAAGGTAAATAGGGGGGCAAGTTTCACGTCGAAGGGTAAAAGTGATATGTTGTGATTTGTCAAGGTTGAGTCGAATTTTCCAGAGTTTGCACCAGTCGTAGAAATTGTTTAGGTGATATTGTAAAGTCTGTGAGGCGTATGCTGAATTTTGATGTCTTGTCAAGATTGTTGTATCGTCTGCGTAAGTCGCGGTCAGAGTATAGAGAGGATCTGGAATATCATATGTGTAAATAATATACAACAGAGGAGCGAGTACTGACCCCTGAGGCACCCCTGCTAGGGCTGGTTTAATGGTAGATAGTTCTGTACCTTGGCAAACAGAGAAAAATCTGTCAGAAAGAAAAGATTGAAGAATAAGATAGTAGGTTGGAGGGAGTATAGTCTTAAGTTTGAAAAGAAGTCCCTGATGCCAGACTCTATCGAACGCTTGAGCAACATCCAGAAATACTCCTGTTGCATATAATTTGTGCTCTAGTGCTGTCGCAATGTAGTCTGTCACTCGGTGTAGCTGATGAATGGTTGAGTGGTGTGAACGAAATCCAAACTGATGTTCAGGTATTATGTTTTCAGTAGTCAGTATGTCAAGAAGTCGTTTGTAGAGAAGTTTCTCAAAGATTTTAGAGCATAATGGGAGCAAGCTGATGGGTCTGTATGATGAAGGAAAGTCAGTGTTTTTGTTAGGTTTGTGAATCATTTTTATGAATGAGTATTTCCATTGTAAGGGGAATTTAGTCGTTCTGAGTATTGCGTTATAAATTGATGTTAGGTATACTAGAGCTTTCCTTGGCATTTTCTGGAGCACTTGAGCATTTATCAGGTCATGACCGGGAGCTTTCTTTTTAGGTAACTGTCTGATTTGTTCTGCAACTTGAGTGGGAGTGAAGCAAAGTGGAGGTAATGACAGTTGTAAAGGAATGTCTAAAGTGTTTTGTACATGTCTTTCGTGATCAGTATTAGAGAAGTCAGTATGTGGTATGAAAACAGAAGAAAGATGGTTGGCAAAGAGCTCAGATTTTTCAAGGTCTGACACAGCCCAGGAACCATCTACGTTTCGGAGTGGTGATGACACCTCACAATGCTTTACAAGTTTCTTAGTCTGTCTCCATAAGCTTCCATCGTCAGTCGAAAGATTTTTGAGGTAATTGTCGTAGTTCGTTCTTTTAAAATTCTGAATCTGTCGTTTAAGTTCATTGTTAAGTCTATTGAAAGTCCGTTTGTCAGATGGAAGTCGACCAGTCTGCCACACTTTGCGCGCTCTTCTCTTTGCTCTGATCAGGTCTCTAATGTACTGCGGATAGATTGGAAGAGACGTATTTCTGCTAGGTCTTGGTACAGATGATGACCATACAGCCTGTTGTAAGCTGATTGTGAACTTATCAACAGCTTTTTCGAGTTCCTCTTCGGTCTTAAGGGACATTGGGATTGAAAGCGTCGAATTTAAGTAGTCGCTGTAAGCTTTCCAATCGATTATTCTATCTGTAAGTGTTGGTTTTTTTGATGCAGTACGAGGCTCATCGCATAGTACCAAACTGAGAAGAGAATGATCAGAACAGAGATCAGAGCTTGCAGTTACAGTATACGGCACTGTCCTGAGTCCTTTAGTAATGAAAAAGTCAAGTAAATCGGGTGTTTTCTGTCTTGAAGTTGGCCAGTAAGTAGGTGTATCAGGTGAGATCGTGTTTAATGAAAGCTGATCGATGGCAGACTTTAGATTTCTTCCTCTAGGAGTACAGAGTCGTGATCCCCAGGACTGATGTTTGGCATTATAATCACCACCTGCAATAAAACACCGACCGAGATGTTGGAAAAAATTGTAAAACATTGCAGATGTTAGCACGTATCTCGGAGGGCAGTACACTGCAGCGAAGGTAATGGTATGGTGCTGGGTATACAGAGTAATTGCTGTGGATTGTATGTCAGGTGTAATGGGTAATTGTAAAGGGTTGTGTTTTAGTGATTGCTTAATCAGTATTGCCGTACCGCCATGTGCCGTCTTATCAGGGTGGTCAGTTCTATATATTTTGTAGCCTGGATAAATAAATTAATAAACAAACAATTGATCCAGTAAATAAAAAAAAATGAGAAAATAAACTCCTGTTTCAATAACCTCCAAATATTTCGTATTTCTCTTATCAGAACAGTATTTTGGTGTTTTATGGCAATAGTGCACTCGTGGAGTCCGTACTTAAGCCCTTTTATGCACTTGACTCAATATGTAGAAGAAGAGTTCCTGTATTGCCAAGGTTTCTCCCGTAAATATCGAGCATATATCCGTTAATATGTCAGTGTTTATGCCACATCTTACCTTATTATCTGCATTCGATGCGTCCGTATTAGATTTTTTTTATGCGCTACGCGGGTTAGTTTCTTCATTTATGTTTGTAGTAACACTAGATATTATTTTAATCAGTACAAAAATAATTCCTATTTTTTTTTATTTTGACCTGATTCTCACTACTGACTAGTACTCATTCCTTTCAAAACATTCGAAATTAAAACTTAGACAGGAATTTATTACGTTTACTTGCCTACTTAAGCCCATTTGGACCCACGCTTCATAGATACATGGGACAGCCAAAAAGACTCATATACGTAAACTACAGACTTTTCAATCTAAAATTTTCAGTACTATGACCAAAGCTCCCTGGTACGCCAGTAACTTTACTTAACATAAAGACAAACAGATGCCAACAGTTCACGACCACATTCGAACATACTACAAAAGGTTTCATAATAACTTACACGGACATACCAACTCATTGATTCAAGGCATGGCCACAACTAACATTCCCGACAGCACCCGAAGAAAACTTAAAATAAACTGGATGAGAGATCTCCTCTATTAAATATAGATATTAAATTCAAGACAGGAAGGACACCGCTGGGCACTCCTCTTCCTCACGCCTATTCCAAGACATATTAATTTTATACATCTCGACATCACACTCGTTGATTGTTGAACTTCTGACGGGTGTCAAATTGAAAAAAAAATATGTTAATAAAAAAAACAGTGATATGAAAAACATAATTAATTGATTGAAACAAATGTTTTTTATCATTTACAATTTTCGTTTTCACTTATGTAAGTAAGAAAATACATATCCACATCTAATCAAAGAAGGATGTTCAGTGAAAGTCGTGTATTAAACGCACCGCACCTTTCTATTTGTTTCTAATGATATCATGTTTTTTTTTTTACGGTATGCATATTATTCTATAAATTCATTAATCTTGTTTCTTTATTTTCAATAGTAAAGCATATGCCTATGATTAATTCCTAGCCCTCTATAATATAGTCTATATAATTAGATACCAGAGGGCTTGGAATCCTTATTAACAATAACTTGTCCTCTAGGAAAACAATTAAGGAAAGGGAAAAGTATATAAGCCTAATTTTTTTCGGCTTTAACAAAACTGATTAACAGCATTCGGGACTTGAAAAACAAATTCAATTTAAAACCTTTTACAACTTCCATATAATAAGGAGGCATAACTAATTTGGAATTGCATTAAAACATGTAATCGCCCTGTAGTTTAATTTCCTCCCCCTTCCTCCCTAAAATAAAACCATAAGGCCGTGCTAAATGGAAATGAGGACCGTAAATATAAGAGAGAGCTTTTGGAAGGTAGCTGAGCTGTGGAAATTGCGGAGTGGTGGGGGGAGTTGCCATTTGCATTTACAGAATGGAATAAAGCCTCTTTCAGTTCTTGGTCTCTCTGGAAGTCGGCCCGAATTTCTTTCGCTCACTTTGCCAGCAACTTCAAAGATACATTGTCTGTATCATTATGAACTGAAATGTATTCAGTCGGTATCCCCACCATCCTCCCAAGGGTAAAAGGTGCTTGCATTATCCCGTTTGAAATTAACAGAGGCACGAGTGTTCTTAAACAATGTGCTCATTTGAATACTCAACGGTATTAGGAATAGAAGAACCTTGAAGCTATATAAATATAACTGGTGTTGCCCAAATGCGAGACCTAGACGAGTCTTGGCAAACTCAGTCTTGGTCATGGTCTTGCGCAAGAGTCTCGCAAGAGTCTTGCAGTTATTAATTACCTTATTACTATAGAGATATTACTGTAATTTTTTAGATAGGAGAAACCTAACTAAGCCCCAATGAAAAATTAGAGGAGTTAAATTAAAATTTATATCGATTAAACCAATTATTAACACATAGTAACTAAAATTGTCGAGTATTAGTAACTATTTTGTCTTAATTTTTGTTTAAAAAATCGATTTTTTTTTTACCAGTCCTGGTCTTGGTCGTGCAACAGTTAGGCGGCCTTGGTCTTGCTCTTGCAAAGTGCAATACCAAGACCGATTTTGGGCAACACTAAATATAACAGCAAGTACCATGACAGTAACTAGATAAACATCAACTAAAGTCATTAAGGAAGTACCTATTTATTAACAAAATACATCATCCTATTCTGGAGAATTCTACAACTTTAATTTATTTCAACTCACAGAGTTGTTGTAATATTTAAATTATTTTTATATGAGACTAGGGTTGGCCGTAAGTACCAGCTGATTTGAAATTATGAGGAGCCCTACACCAACCCGTTGATGACTAACATTGTGTAAAGAGTATAATAAATTCGATAATCTGTTCCGGTAATTCTGAATTCAAACTTTCACAACATTGTTTTAAAATTGCTGACCTATCAGGCCAAAAAACTTCTAAAAGTTCTCCAAAAATTTCTAAAAGCTATTTCTGTTTCAGGCGGACTTGTTCACCTTAGAGCTGATTGAGGGACACCTGTGGTTACACCTGGATCTGGGGTCCGGAGAGGCGAAGGTGAAGGGAACCACGAGGAGGGTAGATGACGGATCGTGGCACGAAATATCGCTCAAGAGGACAGGTCGTCAAGGGCGACTCACAGTAGATGGCAACGCGGCGGACTTCACCACGCCAGGTCAGTACAGAATGCAGAGCATACTTTAACTGTCCCTCTAGTTTTAAAATATTCAATGATCCATCATGTTTTGAATTGGGCCTTGCATATTGCTTTATGATATCACCGGATTCACCTGACATATTCATGTTATCGACATACTGGATATAAACATATTTCTTAAATTATCCTGAGATCCACATCTACCATTAAACTTTTTTTTTTTATAACTCGTTGATTCTTTATTATTTGTATTTACAGTCATGCTTTGCCTTTCGGTAATCCGGGACCCCGCATTCTTTATTTTATTTTATAATTATCTTGATCTCCAAACATAGACAGGATCCTTGTACTGCTAACTTCGTCTTCCGTAGATCTTCTTGCCACCAGAACTAGCCAACTACCTAGGATTTCTAGGTTAAAGTGAGCTCCACCCTACACCACTTTCCAACCATAAATAAAATGTCTAGACTCCAGAACATTTTCCTCACTAATTGAGGAATTTCATCTTTATTAAGAACCTTATGTTTCTCATCAACGTGGTCTTTAACGCCTCAAATATAATGCAGGTCGTCTCTACTGCCTTAAGACCGTGAAGCTTAGATCTAAATTTTCCATACTCAGTGAGGTATTGTGAAGTTCTATAGTTGGGAGGACCTAAGCTTCCAGCTTCTATTTCACAGTGAAAAGTACCACCCAATGTACCTCCTAGACCTCAATGTATTTACTTTAAGGATAGTTACCCACTACCGACACCATTCCTAAATCATGTCCTTTCGGATCATGTCTTTCAATCTGTCAAGCTAATTGAAAATTCTTACCAAATGACTTTTCGAAAGTCTAAAAGAACCTTATTTGTTATATGTATACGCTATGCGTCCCTTATTCCTCAGCCGCTCCATGGCCATTGTCTTGTAGGTTTTGGTTACTTGCACAAACCATTATCTGGGTCGATACCAGCCTGCTCCTCTATCAAAGTGTGAGATTTTTGGTTCAAAAATCGCATCGGGAGTATTCTATAGATATTCATGATGGTAGGTTATCTAAGACCCCAGAATGCGCCTTATACACGATTCAGTCATTATACAGGTCGCGCTATATGCCCCACTGAACGAGTTGGATGTATATCCTGAAACATTGGCAGGATTCAAATTTTCGTTTCACCGGAATTCATCTGTTTCCTAAAGGAATCTGTATTATGATTCTCACAGATAGCAATGCATCTACCAATTATTTGTTTTTTATTTTTTAAACTTGTGTTCTTCCATTCACTGTTTCTACTGTAAATTCCAAACTTTAGGTGTTTGAGCACAAATTGAATGGATAGTCGTGTATGATTAGCAATTTATACCTTTTCGCCTAGTTTCCACAAAAGTTGTTTTAATTGACTTAATCAATTTACTTGAAGATCAATAATAAAATGATTCCTAAAAATCGTTGCGTAGGAACATATTTTTATCCTATCATTTTTTAAAACTTTATGTGCTTAATAAGGCTAATTCCCACCACTGATTTATGAACTTTGCGGAGGCGTTAAGAGAGTTCGGCTTTATCAAGATCGTCATAAAAGTAAGCCAGTTTAGATGGCGCTGCGGAATATTCTTCAATTTATGAGCTAAGTTTTAACGAAGTTTGCTCCAAGTAAGATCTTCCTCGTTTAATGATTTTAATTACTAGCTCTCCTTGTCTATATCTTCAAGGTATCATAGAGCTAAGGAAACATTGCAAACGGACTAAACGGAGGGAATCACTAGATTTTCATAAGTTTTCTCCTTTACTATTATCTGTGGGGTTTAGAGTTTAGATGCACTTCGTTATCTCAATATATCGAATGTTTATTACCTTTAATGGCGACCAAAAACGCTAAAATTCAACGATAAACATTAAAATACCTACACAGTTTCGAACACTACCACTCTGACTTATGTAAAACTACTGAGAATTTCAAATTTAAATTTAATTGAATCAATCCCGTTCCGGGACCAAAATATGAATTTACAATGCATTCAAAAAATTTCAAACAATACCAAACCTCCTTGTGGTCATTGTGATATTAATGTAAATATAGCGCTATCTAAGACTTCCAAAAGCTCGGTGTGTCCTTTAGAAATTCAAAAAATGTTATTGTTGCTTTTAGAAGAATTCAAAGAATACGCTTCAAAAGGTGAGGATACAGTAGTAGGATGCGCGGTTGTCAAACAAAACGCAACTTTTCCTTACAAATTGCCTGAAGCCTGCTCAATCTTTACGGGAGAGGCAACTGCCATAAAGGTAGCCCTTCAACATAGTCACGCAAGCACCCACCAAATCATTATATCTGATTCAATGAGTGCACTTCTGGCAATTAGAAATCAAACATCGAAACACAAGACGATAATAGAAATTTTGGAACTTATTTGGATCGGCAAAAGAGCAGGAAATAAAACAGATTTTATTTGGGCTCCGTCTCATTGTAGTATACAGGGCAACGAAAAGGCCGAAGTAATGTCAATAATGAGGTAAAATTCATTAATTATGTTCCTCGAGAGGACTGGGTGAGGTTAGCGAATTCCCACATAATAGCTCAATGGCTAGACCTAGAGAAAAAACCCCTCCAAACTTTTACAAATAAAAGCAAACAGTAGTAAGTGGTACACTAGTAATAGGGAATCAAGAAAAGAGGACATAATTCTGTGCCTGCTCCGAATTAAACACTGGGAATTTTCACACGGTTACTTACTCCACGGTCGAGAACCAACCACCTTCGTCAAATGTGGTTCCCCTAGAACCGTGAACCACATACTCGTGGATTGTGAATACTATGCAGTCACAAGAAAAAACCTCAACCTACACAGTACTCTTCAGAAATATTACAAGATACCGAAAAAGATGCCTATCGGGTAGAGGCAAATTCAGATAATAAAAAATAAAACAGATAAAATTTTTTTGTAAATTCAATTAAACAAGTACACCCGAAAGGTCTGATTTCACCCCCATGCACTCTCCGTCATCTCAATAAAGAAATTCTTATTAAATATCCATATTTTCTTTTATTATTATTTACTACCGGCGACCGACATTAACTTTTTCGAGTACCATTTAATTTAATTGCTACTTCAGTTGATGTCAAACGATTAACTAAAGTAGTGATTGAATTCTCAATAATTATTAAATTTGAGTAAAATACTTAGTACTCGGTAATCTAAGTAGCATTTGCCCATCTCTCATACAAACCCATGCCCAACCAACGTCAGTAAATCTTTTTGCTTTAATTGCTCAGTTAATCCAAGAAAAAAGAAACATTTAGACATCTACATGATTTAAAACAAGAACACCCCTCTTCCAAATAATACAAACTTGTATAGATATCAAAGACGTGAGATAACCTTTTTATGGACAGGCATCTACGTAAATACCGTTGGGGAAATTTTCATCCTTCCTCTATAAAAAATCAACATAGTAGTTTTATGCTTAATTTTATCCGATTTATAAAATTGTGAGTTTAGAAATAATGTGCGCTATTTGAGTAATTTGCAAATAAAATTGATAGTAAATTTGTTCACACTTTTTTCAGGTTGTATGTTACTTACATGAATTTAGAGTTATTTAAGAAGACGAATTCAGTCAAGTTTCTTTAAAATCGTAATAGCCATTTTAGCGTTTCAGTTTAAAGTTGGGATCTCATTTGACCTCTGACTTTGATTTCAAAGTTATCGTTATCGATTTCAAACCAAGGGAAGGAGGGAACAAAAGTATTAGTATACCATAGCTAAATATTACGTGTTTTTTTTTAATCTAAATAAATTTTAATATGATTATTGGTTTTATATTTGAGTGAAAAAGAAATACGAAAACTAAAACAAAATATTATAGTACAGCTCTATCAAATATCGAATTCATATTAAAGCATATTAGTTCAAACACTTACAAGCCGGTAGCTGTTAATAAATAATAAATCCATATAAGAGATAAAATATCTAAACAACGTTACTCATATGGAATGATTTCTGTCACGTAAAGGACAAACACTATCTGATAATGACGGTATCTTCTGTCAATATCTCTTGATGGATTTTCCTTAATAGTTCTATAATTTCATACATCTAGGATATTTTTCAAAATTAATACAATTATTTTTTTTGTCATTTTAACTTACAATGATGTTTGTTACAATAAACCTTGTTACAAGTCCAAATAACCAAGTCCCACTAAATATTGTGTGTGTGTATGTATGTCAACAGCCTAGCTCTAAGTTGTAAGAAACCGAAATTTCGTATTTAAGGTTTTTATATACATGGTATGTTACAGTAACATTTTCGTCAAAATTGGCAAACCAGAAGTGGTACTTTGTATCTTCAATTTAACACATGTTTCCGATTTTATCAAAAACGTCTGTAACGATTTCGATTAAACCCATTATACTAATGTATGATTAAGTGGTTTTTAATATAAAGTAAGTTTTATCCTCATAGTTGTTCTCCGACAGGAAGTAAATGTCGATTTTTCAAAAATGTCTTCCTCTAAAGTAACTTTCATTTTGTTTGTTTTAAAAAAATAATATTTTTACATCTAATAAATTAGGTGTAATGCCAGTAATATGTAAACGACAAAATATCCAGTTTAAATTAACTTTTTTTAATACAGTCTAAAATTTTATAATCTCATAAAACAATACTATGAACATAACCTCCATTTCACATTATCAATGCCCTCTACATTTCATAGCCATTATCTTTTAAAAAGTTGTTTTTATTAATTTTAATGGCTGAATAGAATTCAATGAAATTTATACTAGAGAATTACCACATACTTTATACTAGCATTTCCTTCAACTTTATGTCTGATCGAACGAGCCATTTTCAAATTATTGTCGTGTTAAAAACAATACATTTTCAGATTTGAAAGCGGAACTATTTTCTGAAAGTAGGGAATGGAATTTTCTGAAATGAATATCCACTTGATCTTTTGTTTATCAATCCCTAACTTTCCTCCACTTTGAACCAAATCGAACGTGCGGTTTTTAAAACATAGGCGTATCACGA